TCTCTCTCTCTCTCTCTCTCTCTCTCTCTCTCTCTCTCTCTCTCTCTTTTCTCTCTTATTCTCTGCTCTATCTCTTATAAAGCTGCTTCCTATTCCTCTCCTTTCTCAGCCTCCTGCCCCCGAGGAATAAAGACCTATGAAAGGAGACTCCATTTGCCTATGTATTCTTGGCACAGAAATGACTTCACTGAGAAGATCAAGGCATTCTTAGGTCATTAATCTGGGAGGGGGTGATTAATAAGCTGGGAAGGTCCAACACAGGTTGTGAGGAATGGTTGCTACCAATTAAACTACCTGCAGTGCATGTTTTATCCTCAACTTCACTGAGAGGCTTTCAAAGTCTTTTGCAGTTCTGCCACACGACTTCTAAATGTTTGTAAGAATAACCATAACTGTTCCAGTCAAGTAAAGCACAGCAGAGCTCAATTTGATGAGGCAATGAAAATGGACATGAAATCATAATCTCAGTTAATATCTGATATATCTATTAAGTATTGGTTTTGTACAGTATAAACAAATACAACAGTTGCTGACAGGTTAATTTTGTTACCTTTGCAGAGTGCCAGGCTAGCTGTTTCTTCCTGTTTCCAGTCTTTATGCTAAGCTAAGCTAACCCTCTGCTGGCTTCAGCTACATATTTACTGTACAAATGTAAGTTTGTCATTAATCTTCTTAAATAACACGTGGCAGGAAAGCAATTAAAGATATTTCCCCAAAATGCTGTACTTTTAATTTAAATTCTAATTGTACCATTTATGTGAAGCACGAGAGCGGAAACATTGGACATTTTGCTCACCCTGTCAGTCATTTTTCCTGGCATGAGCAGCAGTTTGGGTTGCAGTCGCCCATCTGATTCCCCATCTCTGTTCTTTCCACCTGCATTATCTTCCATTGATGCCCCTCTATGGTGTACTGAGCTCGGTTTATGGCTCACCTTATAGAGAACAGGATACACATGTTTTGATTTGTAACTGCATATATGTGCAATATATTTCTTACGAACTAAGATGATAGTTTTAATGTCATCGGATGGCACATACTTTGATGTAAAAGAAATCTTCACTTCGACCTGACCGGGAGTGCGACAGGCCTTTAGGGGGCTGAGTGGTGGACGAGGAGCCCTGAGTGAAGCCGCACTTCAGTAGCTCGTCAAGGCTGCAACCTCCACTCTTTCTATGAGGACTTATTGCCTTTTTTAACCTATGTTCAGATGCCTTGCAGTGTTTACTGTTAAGGCTGTTGCTGTTGACGAGGCTGCTGACGCTGCCCATGGTCCTGCAGGCATAGGTGAGGGGAGGGTGTGGCTGAAGTCCAGGAGGTCAAGTTACACAGAAGTGAAGGGAAGAACCAGCTCATGACCCCAGAAAGATACTGTCAATGGCTCCATCTACAAGGCGAGAAAGGGATAGTACACATTAAACACAGAGAATATTAGCTGTTGATCCTCAAACAGAAGATTTTTTTTCATGAAAAGAACAAAAACAATGTCATAGTGTCATCTGATGCTGTTTTAATGTTGTTAAGTTATATTGTTTGCTGTTCAGTCCAAATATGCAGTGTTGAAGCAGGTGTGTAGACATTTGCAAAACAAACAAGGTAAAAAAAAAAAAAATCCATCTTGGCACTCTGCCTGGCTTTGTGTGTCTAGATTTATGGCTGGGCCGTTGAATTCAACAAAAACCCCTATGGGTGCCCTTCCTCTAAACAAACTGGCAATTGGGCTACTTACAGACTACTCAACACTCGGATGGTGCTGCCATCTGAATGACACTATACAAACATTTTGGATTTGCTATTTTACTTAAACACAGTATGACCACATAAATATTGACTTTTATTAATGTGATTGGCTCGAATTATGAAATAACAATGAGATTGAGAACACAACACGACTGGATATATGTTGTTAACATTCTCACTTATAATACAAGGACATTTATCCACAGAGGTACTAGTGATGCTCTCTATTTGCTATCCCCCCCCCCCCCCTCCCTTTTAAAGACAACCGGACCCCAGATGCTGCTCGTCATGATCTCCAACCCACAGGGGAAAAGTAGTGACTTTGTAGCAAAGGGCTCCATACTGACTGATCAGGCCTGTGGGCTCCCCTGACCACCTGGTCCACAGCCTTTAAGCATGTTATAATGTCCACACCAACAAAGCATGGAACTAATGGCCTGCCATAAGTCACATATTAATGTACATTGCATTTTGCTTGAGGCTTATTCGTGATCATTGGTTGCACGGTGGTGTTTGTAAGGATATGCATAGCTGTCAGTGTTTGTCGATGAGGTGTTTGATGGGAGAGCCGATGGAGGCTGTCACTTATCATCACCCAGAAAACAATGATAAGCGAGATGAAACATGTTCCATCATGAGGAGAATAATAAGAGCATCAGAGAAAGACAGCAAGTGAGACAAAGTGGGAAAGTTTGAGTGGTTTCTACAGCAGAATAAGACAGCGACAGTGAAGGTGAATATGGGAAAGTAAAGACAACCCTATTGCATGAAGTCATGAAAGAAGCGCATAGCCAGTCTTCCAGCACAGCTTCAGTTTTCCTTTTTCATTGTTTCATTCAGGATGAAATTCAAAATATATTCCGGAAAGTAAACAACCACTGAAAATACTGAGTAATGGTATTGTTAATGTTAAATGAGTACAAAGCAGGCCCCCAGTCAGTACCAGTGATGCAAATGTCTATTCTACTGTGCCTGGATGTCTGCCGCTAAATCTAAACTCCAGTGAAGGCACTATCACTCTCAGATATTAGCATCCACCACTGACATGGGACTGAAGTAATGAAACAATAGATTGTACTTACTGCCAGGTCAATCTAAGCATCTATCTCTAGCAAGGCCCCTGCAGAGTCATCTATCCAGTCCTGGAGAAATTGAACAGGCATGCAGACATGTATATCTGTGCGTGTGTGCCCTTGAATGAACCAGCAGCAAATGCAAACCTCACACTATCACCACGGTCAGGAGGGTCTGTTAACTGTTCGGTGGAGGGGGTGGGTCTTTCTACATGGCCCGTACCGAGCTTTGCATTATAACTGACATGTAAATTCAACTCTGTGTGGGTGTGGGTGTGTTTTGGGACCTCCTGCTCCCCCCGGGGGAGCCAGTGTACAACATGTGCTCCCATAGAACTGGCGTGTGCCGCTCAAGTGATTAACTCCCAGCCTTAACAAAAGATCTTTTACACCCCCTGTGTACCCCCCTCTTCTCCCCACTATCACCCACAGACACCCTCCGTTTGTGCATCGACTTACTGTGTAATAACCATTCATCCTCGCCCCCTCCTTCCCTCCCTCCTTCCATCAGTCCCTCCCTCCGTCCAGCCGTCCCACTCGGTGCCCTGCACCCTCCCTGAACAAACAACACTTCATGTGAAGGAGAAAAAAGGCGCTTGCCCTCTTCTTTTCGCTCTTTGTCTGTTGAAGTGTGCCGCTCTTTGTGTGGACTCTTGTGTATTCTCCCCAAACAGCCCAGGACCATATTTGAGTGTTATATAAATGACTAGTCCTCACAATGAGAAGGCTGAAGAGCTTCGGTTTTATAGTGATTTACCACCATCCTGCCTTTTTGCTCAGACATACACTCACAGACTTTACTCTCTCACACACACACACACACACACACACACACACTTTTACACATCTACATAAACAACACACACTTTCACACGGTCTCATTGCTGCCGCACAAGTCTCTCTAAGGCAGTAGAGTGTTCATCAACCCACAGAGTACATGACAAAACACCTTGTGGATGAAATACAATCACACATCACGACAGGAAAATATACACGGTACTGTGTTCCAAATGAACAAACAACAACAGAAGAGATATGGCCCCCGAAGCTCTGCTGCTGATAAAACTGGTGTAAATCTTAGAACCCATTTTAGTCACGAGTAAAGGAATACTTTCTCGGAATGTGAAGAAAACAGACAGCTTTACCATGCATCTACAGGTTGAACAGTACTGATTCATTGATGTCGCACAAAAATCAATAAAGAAATCTGTTTGTTAGAGTAAAACTAATGGGAAGCAGCAGGACCCTATGCTGTGGGATCGTTTAACATTGCACCAAAGTTTACATCATATTGCATCATATTGACTGAAAGTTTTTACCATGAAGTGTTTTCACAAAGTCTTTTGACCCAGCGTATACATTATCTCTGTAGATCTACCATAATCTTTTTCAGCAGCAGCGCTCACTCATCCTTTCAGCTGACTACCATACCATTGTTCTTCAATTGGTCCAATTCAGCTCCACAAGCCTATTTGACTGGACAATGATCCTGCCATTTCACTTTTATGTTCCCACTCCCTTGCTTGAGAGAATCTGTCAGTTTCACTTCCATTTGATGCAAATATTGAAGTGATTTGAAAGTATTTTCATTGCTCCATCATTGCAAATCTTAATGAGCAGTACGAATGGTCTGATCATGCGGCTTTTGAGTAGACAGAGTGATTTAAGACCTTTGGTGAGATGGGAACTCTGGTGTGTGGATGCATGCATACATCTAATCCTATATCTGATTGGCTGCATGTTTTTTTTTCTTTTTCTGTGTGTGAACAAAAGAGTGTGTGCACTTGTTTGTCGTGTGTCTGTGTGTAAGCAGTGGGTGGTGTGTGTGTGTGTATGAGCGGGGGTGTCGTCCTAGCTTTCGAGCCCCAGCTGACCTGCCTGACACAAAGCCCTGTCCCGCGCAGAACCAGCTGACAATACACCCCAGCCCCCCTCCACACACATGCAGACACAGTCACACATAAAAACACCCTCTGAGGGCATAGCCAATCCATTTCCACAGCCAGTGGAAGGCAGCAGTGTGCTATTAAGGTCCAGGATTTATACCTGTCTGACAATGACCATGAAACTCTCCTCTGTTCTCACTGTACCTCTACACTGCCACGGTGCCAGATGGCATCTCTTTAATTCTCACTGTCTTTATGGTAATTTTGAACAGATGCATGTGAAATCTATCTAGTTCAGTGTGTCTGTTTTTTTTAGGTCAGTCTCAGACAGCTTATGGTTCTTTGTTCATGTGTGCCGTCTTAAGCGCACACAGAATTTCATACACAGTGTTTTTACATGTTTTACCCCATTTATTATTACGTTTTTTGGGGTTTAATTATTGTTATTTTAAGATAACGTTGGAGGACTAGTGAGGAAAGCTTGTCAATGGTCAAAAGGCATCCTGACTTTTAGTGCAAAAACACTTTCCATAATGGAACTCAATAGCATTGTTTCTTTAAACCCTCCATGCACAGTAAATGCCCATGTCTTTTTAACTCCATGTGAACAGGATTTATGTCAGAAATGTAGAAAAGTCTCAAAGCCCAAATTGACCTCGATGACATCACCAGGGTTATTTTTCTCCTGACTTTTGTGTGCTGCCTCCAGAGCCACAGGATGTCCCAAATATTATTCCCTATGATGTGCAAGTTGTCCTCTAACATTACATCCCATTCATTTCCCCAATAAGGCACATTTTGAAACAGTTTGTCATGTTTATGGGCAGCCAATACCTTTGACTGATGTAACTACAGCATCTTGTAGACTTAAAACTTAACTTTAGGCAGCTAATCCATCATGGTCCTTTTTGTCAAATGGCGCTTATCATTGTGAGATAATGGAGATGAAAGCACATTTTGTTTTGTATGTTCAAGTGTTGGCAGTTATGTCTGACAACGGAGATTTACGGTAGAAGTCGACTACTGAAGTACAAAAGCTACCATGTGGGCCAACATAAGCTATTGCAGACTGTGATTCTACAAGCAATGGTTGTTAGTAAATCAATGGCTGTATTTTAGTCTCTCCAAATTAAAAGATAAAGTAAAATAGCATGCAAATATGTTCCTATATGCATGCTACAATTCAGTTTAAGAACATTCATCAAAGTGCCAGGAATAAAATTAAACACATTAACTAAAATTTAGATTAAAAAAATTCTGGATTGCACCTTTAACTTTGGAGGAGACATCAAAATCAATCCTTATTATGCTGTTCGATCCTCTAAATGTATACGCTGAACATATTGCTCCCAGTGTGATGGAATACATTTAGATAACTGGAATTGATTTGTGGTTCACACAAAATAACTGGTGATTCCTATGTAATGAAGCAGGCATCTCCCTTTATGCTAGGCATCACACAGTGGAAATTAAACTCACGAATTAAAGCAGGGGGGGAATAATAGTCTGATTGATTGGTTGAATTATAGAGAAGTAATACTCTGTTGTTTTTTCTGTCATTCTATGTGGCCCGTCAAGGCCCCAGTCACACACACCACACGCACACACACACGCACACACACACACACACACACACACACACACACACACACACACACACACACACACACACACACTTGCCCATCTTGTGTCTTACTCATTGTGACTGAGTTGTGGGAATGAGTAATGTGGCCTCCAGCAGAACATCAACTGGGAATGAAGTGTTGGGTACAGACAGCCATCTATCTTTCACTTTCACTGCTAACACATCTATATACTGACCATGTATGCACACGCACGCACGCACACGCACACACACACACACACACACACACACACACACACACACACACACACACACACACATGCACAATGGCATCCAATAGCAGCTAATTGGGTAATCCCTTTAGTGCATTGTAAAGGAGATTGAGCATGAACAGGGCTTCAATGTTGAAGAGCAGAATAGCAGACACTCATTACCGCCTCAGATGAAGGAGATGGAATACTAGGCATGGAGAAAGAGAGAGAGAGAGAGAGAGAGAGAGAGAGACATGGAAAGACTGAGTGTGTGTGTGAGAGAGAGAGAGATATTCTGTGGAGCTGACATTGCATTATACAATGATGACTGTTTTTTATTGTCCTGTAAACAATAAACGATATCTCCTCTGTTTGAGGGGTTTGGATCCAGAGAAAGGCATGTTTACTTGAATTTTGCAAGTAAAACATTTATTGCTCATTAATTTGATCTTGGTGTCTCCTATTGGCAGCCGTGCAGCCTCATCTTAGATCAAAGGCCTGCATTTAGTGAAGGACCCCACGTTACAATTAGATCGCATTCAGATACTATTATGTGCATCCAAATGAGGCATTAGGTCAACCAAACAATCAACCTCCTTAGGTTTTAATAGATAAGGAGGTTGTGTGCACTACTCACTGGGTTTGTATGGCTGGCCAACTACTGCTCCTGTAGTACAGGTATTTGCATAACCTTGGCAGCTGGAGTATAGAGGAAAATGTATTTTTAATGGAGTCTAAATGGAAGGCTTTAGTGCTGCAACGAGGATGGGAATTGATGCTCATGAATTTAAGGAGCCCTAAAATTAAATATATTAAACTTCCTTTTATATTCCTTTATTGAGCTGCATCCATCCATTCAAGATTGATTATTGCATTACAATATGTCTTTGCACTTTTCTGTAATGCTTCAAACTTATCTATTGCCCTGGAATGAGTCCAGAAATTGTTTTAAAGAGTTGTATGTGTCTTTAGTTAGATACTGCAGATCGCCGGCCAGCTCCATAGTCATGCAATATTTACATCTAAGGCTTTTATCCCACTCTGAAAACAGCAAGTAAAAATGGATTGTTACAAATGGAAGTGTTTTTAGACATTTTGAATTATTGCCCATCCATTACCTGCCACTTGTTTTGAACAGGCTGTGTCTTTTATGACACAATATACAATTTTAACTTGATTGATTGTCATAAAAGCTTTAATTGTTGTGGTGTCAGATTATATGTACAATAATTGAGTTTTCACTGAGGCAGGCACACTTGCTGTCAAAATAATACAATTAGAATAAATGTTTCGTCCTGGTTTTGTAGTGTTATGTAGATCATTAAATTGGGTTCCAAAAGACAGATTAGAGATAACAGTTTTTAACTTGGTAGCATAAGAGACGTTTTACATAAACTCACCTAACCTCTGCATTTCTCACATAGTCACATTTAGTCACCTCACCATTTCTTAAAACTCTGTCTTATATATTTGTGTTTGATACAGTATCACAGTGGAATGACATGCATAGGTAGGCGGAAAAGAATGAGGCCTTTCCTGGCAATGGGGCCCATTGACCCTGCAAGCTGAAGACTTGGTGATAAGGTTGTCAATCTGGAGCATAACCATCCTCCTAATCTGCTGTGGCTTTGTGTGTGTGTGGCTGCTGTAATGTGGGAGTAAGAGGAGACATAATGAGCTCACTTTCAGGCGTCTATAATAATGTGAACACAGCTGGAAATATCTGCTGCATGCGATACTTGCTCTCAGCTCCAAAATAAAAGCCCCCTGACCTTGAAATGCTAAATTAATCATTGTAGGGAAACTCGGCATGCTTTGTTCAATAGTTTGACGTGTCATAACTCACAAAAGTCACGTCTGCTACTCGCCTGCTGTGCACAGTTGCTCAGCTGATTCACATACCATCAGAATATAATTCCCTTTTAAGGAAGTTTATATGAATCATGGCTGAAAAGTTTAAAACTCTGCAACTTCATCCTGAGCTGAGACTCACAAAGATGTTGGGATGCTGCACTTCTCAGAGCCCTCACTCATGAAACGATGCTGCATTTGGGTATCTGGGACAGTTATTTTAAGAAGCGTCTACTTTAGCAGGTCATGACAGCTCTAATGGTTTGTCACACGCTACAGATATGGAACTGAGCTGCATCAATTCCCACGATACAATATCAAATATAAAAGATATAAAAATGATCTGTGGAGTCAAGATATTTACATCAGCAAAGGGAATTCTGTAAGGAAAACAAATATCTCAGCTTTTCTCTGCTGTGACAATACAAGAGACCTGTCTTTGCTTCTTTCATCCTCCACCCTCAAGTTACAGTGCAGAGCAAAGCTGAACATGCCTGAGCAGGTGCCCTATACTTACCCACTCCCTTTGACACCAGCACAATGTACAGTAAACCATGTTCCCCACAGGTCTCAACACATACACTACTGTACGCAGGTGTGACTCTTCTAAAACTGGGAGATTGTGCAAAGGGTAAATTATTCCCCACACATATCTCTTCCTTGTGTTGCTATTAATTATAATGCAAAATCATAGGAATATTCAAGAGCTTTTGGGCCAATTACTATGGCGGGACATATGGACACACTTAATTCACGCTTAAACACCTATAACAATCGTCTCTTTGTCTGATGCCATTTATTTTTCCAAATTGCTGTGTACAGCGCAACATTGAAATAAAGCCCCATGCTGCACCCTATTATTTCACCAAGTCAAAAACAATGGTGTGTCCAGTAATGGCTGTGCTGAAAGTAAAGAACATGATTGGCAGTTTTCTACAAATAAACTGTTGAAAGCAGACATTTCATTCAGAGATGTTTTTTACTTTGAACCAGCAAATTAAAAAATAGCAATAGACTGGGGACTGCCTCCATGTCGAGAAACTTTGGTTCAGTCAGAATGTTGAACTAAGTAAACAACTGACATTACTCAGTGTGGTTCTAAAATGAACCATGTCTACATTTAGTTCCTTAATACAAACACATCTAAAACATTGTATGTAAGCCACATCAAGACAAATCACACACTCTCAAATCTGTGGGACCTGTTAGTGACACTCAGGCTCACTTCTGTTTGAAGTTGCAAAGCTGTGAGTCTGCACCGTCAATAATCCCCTGTCACATCACGTCAAACAGCCACGACCTTCCCTCAAGTCCACCTGAAGGTGACTTACCTCCATCATAGTCTGCCTGGCCCCCACAGTCACTGCTGCTGCTGCTGCTGCTGCTCTGTTTCTCAAAGCTGTGTGTTCACAGTGGACAAACCACTGGATAGTTGTCACTGCTGGTGTGGAGAGCAGGAGACGTCTGCCATTGTTGCTGATCTTTCTAGGTCCAACTCTCTCCCCTCATCAAGACCTGGTGTGGTGCAATCAGTCCGTCCCATCTCCCATACTCTGAACACAGTCACATTCCTCCATAAACAAGCTCTTTCTCTCTTTCCCCCTCCGTCTCTTTACAGTGTATCCTTATTGCCTCCCTCCTGAACTCCCTCCCACTCTCGCCTTCACTCTGAACATCCAACACTGCCTCCCTCCCTTTGCTGCTTGCCTCGTCCACCTCTTACATACATTTCCTTTTAGTTGTGCACTATTTCTTTAGTATTTTCACCGCTCCCTTGTTCCCCACATTCATCCCGCTCTACCTGTTTCATCTCATTTTGCACCTTGCTTCTCTCTCTCTTTTTCTATTTTCCTGGCATCGTGCCCAGCAGCTCTGCAATTTATTTTAAGTCACTTCACTGCCTCTGCATGCCCACATACAGCACATAATCCCTGCCCACACTTCTAAGCCACACACAATATCTGTAAGCGTTCGAAATATCTGTCTGTTTGAGTGTGTGCAGCTTCAACGGTTCCTTTTATTGTGTGTCCAGTTGTTGTTGACTATATTCATGTGAACCAGTTGCAGCCTGTAGGTGTGCATGTGTGTACACCTGCAAGAAAGCCAGTAAGTTGCTGCTGGGCTGATGACTCATGCATGCTGTTACCCACCATGCTCTGCTGCTGAAGATTTAACCTGCTTCACTGCTCTAGCTGAGTCCGTTGGCTCTCACACACACACAGGAAGCCAGGGGCAGATGTTTTGGTTTATTTCTGTAACAGATGAGTTGAATAAATGATCAGGATGGTAGCGTGCAGGTTATAACCCCGCATTGCGGTATTCACAGTACACCCATTTGACATGCAAGTACATCCTCTGTTTTGTGTCCATCATGTCCCTGTGCGCCTGTCTCTCTTGTTCTTATTATCTTCCTCTTTCTTCACTCTTTTACAGTCTACATTCCAAAACTCTCTGCTGCATCACAATTAGAAGAATCAAAACTTCCAGTCTCTCTCGAAGTTAATATGACAAAATTAAGTTTGAAGTTACTTTGCTGGCTGTGAACGAAATGTACAATTCTTCTCTTTGCTGTCTGGGCATGTTTGGTGGAGATATAATGACTGTTTCAGACTTCTTTCAGTGTTCCTGGAGTGCCAGTTTCTCTTGAAATGATATTCCCCCCTTTTAGTATTCAGTGGCCAGGAACACCATCAGAGACATCGCCTTTACCCTCAGTGGGTGCCAGAAATGTGTATATCTGTGTATTGACCGTTTAATAAAAGCTTTTAATCTTGGTTTTGACCAAAGTGTATTTGAATGATCTCATTTCGATACCCGACACTATCATTACCCCCTTGTTGTATACCGCCTGGTGCTATAGCTGAGGCCATCCAGGTTATTATCACACAGACTGTCATGTACACCAGTTAGTGTGTCATTGTCTGCTCACTCTTTGAAGGCCCTAAATTTGACTCGTATCCTGTTTGCCCTCACAAAGCATCTGCCTGTGTGTGCATGAATGAATGGGCGGGACTGTGCATTTGGGATTGTTGTGTGTGTGTGTGTGTGTGTGCGCACATATCATTTCATGGTTATCTCATCAGCATGCAGGCTTTAAAATAGTCTGTTTTTCTATCTCAGTGCAAAAGTATCAATGGTGGTGTGCAGGGTTGTTAAAAATAGTTATTGATCATTCGTGCACTACAGCACCCTTTGTGTGTGTGTGCATGTATAGCACGTGTGTGTATGTGTCGGGGAAGTTATTTTTATACTCACTGTCATATAAATGTTCTAGCAGGTCTCTAAAGATTGCATTACAGGAAAACAATTAAGAGATGTTTTTGTTTTCTGCCAAAGTGAATGAACCAGCGTGATTACTCATGTGAGTTTTAGGTTTTCTGGACTAGAAGGAGCAGCTCAGGCTGTCAGACGGGGAATTGGCTGCAGCAATTGATTGGATTTTACGTCAAATTTGCTCTTCCAGAACGTGCCTCCTTTTCTTGGCCTGGCCCCATCTCCCTGCTTATCTCCACTCACCCCCACAGACACACCCCCACAAAAAAAAAAACATGGAGGAAGATCAATACCTCGTAAATAAAAAGGCCGAGCATAATGTTGTTGACCCAGCTGGCCCAAGAAACTGACCCTAGTCAATGTCAGGAGGCCAGATGCTGGACACTGCTGAGATGCGTGTATACCCCTCCCACACACACACACACACACACACACACACACACATACACACACACACACACACACACACACACACACAAAAGCCTTCTCACGTATTTACACAGAACCTTTAATAAGACACATGTTCACATATGCATTTAGACCCTCAGGATTTTGGTGAACTAGAAAGCCACACACACACACACACACACACACACACATACATTGCCGATCTCAAAATCCAATTTCTTATGTAAGCCTGCTCTATGTTTGCACATATGCCTTTTTTGGCAGACTGGCGGATGTAGGCAGCTGAATGTGAATCCAATTTGAATCCATATTACACTGGAGATTATGTGAATAGACACAGTCAAGACACAATAAAGTGATTGCGCTAAAATGCACACTAGATGTCATTTTAAATTAGAAGCAGCTGTTGTTAAACGTTGGTAATGTTTTATTCCGAAATGTCTGACAAATGCTCTTTTCGATTTCAAATTAAAGTTGTTGTTTTGCAATACTTTTTTAGTAAATCAGTTTAAGCTTTTACACCTTGTACCAAACGGGATGAAAGAAGTGTAAAACATGCCTACTGTTACAAAATGATCACTGGCACTAAAGCAAAGCACCCTGCTATTAAAGTGGTTTTACATGCTTACACACTGAATAAACGCTGATTATAAAATATTAATTAGCAAAATTATTCCAGAATATATTTATACATTTTAGATTTGAGCCTTTCATCTATACTTTACCACTTTAACACAACTATTATCTCTGAAGAATCATTTTTATGGTGAAATATTTTCGAGAGAGATTAAACAACCATTTCCCAAACATATAATCTAAATCCTTTGTGGGATTATAATAATAATTGACAGAAATAAATGAAAGCCAAACCTTTTCACCACAAGAAAACTGCTACTCTTTTGGGTCGTAAACAGGTAGCAGTGACATTGACGCTCCAGTTTAATTACCGTGAACTACTCCCCAGTGCTCCTTCTATCTCTCTAATAGCATTTCCACTGCTGTCTGAAATGGTTTGTGGGTACTACACTGGGCCCTCCATCATTTAAACTGTCTATTTGGGGAACATTCACCCACCCAGCGCTTGAATCACTCAGCCCCTATGAAAAAATTAAGTATGCATTTGTCTGATGTAGGTGCCGCTGCACTAACAAGCTGAATGGCCTTCGGTAACGCTCAGGCCTTGGTCTTTTTCGTTCTTTCTTAAGTGCCTCCGTCTTCTTTTTTCATCTCCTGTCAAGGCTGACAGCTCCACTGTGTATCAGCATGTTCACCTGGGGCCGGGCAGAAGGGCAGATAGAGATAATATTGGCAGAAGTTGAAGGCAGACACAGATAAATGATGTCACACTGTAAAAGACAGAGGTGGAGAGAAAAATGGACACGAAATGTAAGTAGGAAGAAGAGCAGAATTTGAGTAAGAAAAGGAGGTAAAGAGGCCGAGGCGAGGTCTGAGTGCACAGAAGTAGGGCTTGAGCTAAAGCTTTATTGATTCAGTTGGTTTTGTCTGCCACCTCCTCAGAGGACACAGTTGGCCTATGATGTATGAGTGCTTCATCCTCTCCTGCTCCAGCGAGGGACCCAAGTCAGAGAGTCAGGCACTAGAGGGACCGCGTGTTACGCTGCCAGTACAGCAGGGGGCAAGGCAGCCCTCCAATCCCCGTACATCACAACTCCACTGAGAGCTAGTTTGAACCACAGAGAGCAAAAGAGACCTTTCACCTGCTTGGTGAAGAAGAAGAACATGGCTTCTCGCTGAAGTTGATAAATCTCTAGCGCTCACTGCCAGACAACAGACAACATAAACTTGTCATCAATAAATAAAATCCATGCACAGATTTGTATTTCCCCCTGGCATAAATACGTACAACTTGTCCTGCCCGCTGCAAGAGATTAAGTGAGGCTATGCAGACACACGTACACACACAGAGATGCTCACACTTCAAAGCAGTGATGGCTGTCTCTCTGTGCAAGGCAATTTGCACTCCCCAAGATCTCTCTCACCGGCAGCATATAAATAAGCCTGGCACCAAGTGGTCAGAGCCCACAGTAACAGCCTGTCAAGTTAGATGAGGACAATGAAGCTGTCTGTCTGTCCCACACACCTGATGAGTGGCACGCGTTGGGAGTCTAGTACGTGTCACACACCCAGATGCTGGTGTTGTCACTAAGACACACACACAAACACACACTGGGGTTATTAGTATTGATTTAATGTACCTTGCTTAACTCCGCTAAGCTACGTTTGATGAGGCTTTAATTCATCAACAGACTATGCGTGTTGAAGGTGTTGGGCATACAGCCAGGGCAAGCATCGTCTTCGCAGACGAAGAAGCATTAACTGACTTTAGATAAAAGCATAGGGTCAAACACGTACAGATCTGCTCATCGATATCTATCTTGACCCTTTGGAAATGTGTTGAAGTGGGATGTTAACGGTAGGAGAGGGACACCTCTGGCGCTTACTAAATCCCTGTTTGAAGCTGTCAGACAATGTTTCACCTTTATTTTACCTTTCAGTCTAGATTGCACATAATACTATTAAGTTGCAGGGTTAATAGAATAACTGTTGCTGATGATTTAAGTCTTCGATGTAGGGGCAAAGAGGCGCAGGGTGACTGTGCCCATATGTAGTACAGATGGATCACTGCCAAAGTCACCCTGATCCAGCCATTTTGCCCCCCAGGTGTTACGTGCCTCGTAAAAATTTCACAAATGAAGTCATCCATCTCTCCCCGTGGTTAACACTTCACAGGCTAACAACAGTTAACTGTTTTCAGAAGTCTTAAGCATCTGCTAATAGGGATTATATGGAGTGTAACTAAGCTATAAATTGTCGTAAGGTGCATGGTCAGGCAGCGTGAACAGAATAGCAGAATAGACTAAACACCTCCTCCCTCCAAAATCTGTTTGCCTCACAGAACACAGTCAATGTCAGCTCCAGGTTGTATTGCTTTTTGTAGTTTCTTCTAAAGAGTGATGGTGTTA